TGATGCAAAATGGCAAGGAAATGCCAAATGCAAAACTCTAGAAAAAAATTCTAGAGATCTATGGCATGACACAATAATTAATTAGCAACAGATAAGGTTAAGTGTGAAAAGGAATAATCACAAATTCTACTAAAAATTAGAGGTACAACTACTTTGAACTTCATTCTTAGGAAAACACTTACCTTGTCTTTATTCCTTGGTTTTAGCACTTTCAAATGTGATCCCATAGTACCCTATGGGTCTTTCAGCTACAACCATCATTTATGTATTCTGGCCCTGTCTCTGGAACCATCACAGATTTTACCTTAAGATGGTCAATACCTTTCTTACAGCATCATTTTCTAGAACTCGTAAAGAATCTGTTTGCTTTCTTTCTCCCTTTCTCATCTCTCAAGTCACTTTAAGCTGTTAATTCGGAAAGGACTTTGATTTGGATCATGATCTCCCTTAATGATGTTAGTGTAGACCTCTCTGAATCAATCTATCCTGCCTACAAGACTATAGGGAATTTCTCTGAGATTTTTTTTTAATATATCACTTTGTACATACTAAAGAGTAATAATTCTTTTCAAAAATAAGAACTATAGACTTAGTTGTTCTATATTTCTATGCTTATTACCCAAGTTACCTTTTGCATTCAGGTTAAACATTATACACTCTTTTCACACGATGGGCACATAAGACATAGCATGGCTCATACATTTCCCATTATAATTGGGAATTGTTACAAAAGTGGGAAGGAACCAGGTGATTTCTGCAATGTAAAGGCTTATTAAAATGAGAATATAAACAGATAAAAATGCCCAGGAAGTCTAGAGTTCACAAAAATGTAAATCATGTTGGTAACCAAAGAGAACCTTCTCAGTAGATGTTGAGGAAGACCAACAATTCATTCCTTGCTCATGTTGCTTAAACCTGCAACCTTTGGGTAAGGCAGTGCCATCTGGCCACATTACCCATACTAACCTCAAGCTCTTGAAAGTAGGGCTCCTCCTGCTTCAGATTCTTAAGTAGCTGGGACAAGCATAGCATTGCTTGTAACACTGGAATACTTTGCATGTGTGTACATATGGTGTTGCAAGCATGCATGTGTCTTAATACCATCAATGTGTTTTTTATTTTGTATAGTTTGATGGGATTTTGGGGAATCCTGCTTTGTGCTTTGCAGCTGTGTTTTTTCACTGGGGTTCTCTTAATAAAGGAATGTGAGACAGTCTAGAAATCTATATGTGAAGGTTTCATCTCAAACTGGTTTTTTGAACTGATGCTTTTGCTGTTGTGGTTGCCATACTGAAAGGGTCTGGACATACTAGAAAGGATTTTACTCTCTTTTAGTCAGAGTGAACGGACTTCTCCAGGAAACAGTAGTTAGCACACTAAAGAGTTATTTGTTGCTTACGTCAAACACTAATCCCTCATAACCTCATCTTAACCTGAAACCTCCCAAGGGTCCCATCCCCCGTTGACATCATGCCCGATATTAGGAAATTAATATGTGACTCCATTCTCCCCACTCCTGTGTTGCGAGGGTGTAAAATGCAAAACAAAATCTACTGACTTGTCTTACGGATATGATTCATTGTTAAATACAGTCATGGTGTTATGCAGTCATCTCTTAACTCTTTGTCTTACGGACTGAAACCAGAACTCATTGACTTCATTTTGCTTCCTGCTAAATTCTACGTTTGGTGTCTATGAGCTTGTTTACTCTTGATATTTCCTATAAATAGTCCTATCATTTTACTTCCCATGATGCCCTTGAGTCCATCCGTATTGTAGCATGTGTTGGAGCTCCTTAAGGTTGACTATCTGTTCTTTCTTCTGTGTATACTTGGGTTGTTTCTGTCTCTCAGCAGTTGTGTCCTGGCTGCCAGAGAAGTGGGGTGGCATCAGCTGCTTGACTCTGGCTATCTTCACGTCATTTAAGTAGACGATTTCACAGTCTAAATCACTTTATACCGTTCAGGCAGTTGGCTGGATCTCTGTGCTTCAAAAGCTTCTCAGTCTTGCCTTCTGTCTGGGCTTTGGCATAAGTCTTCTAAACCTCAGTTTCTAAGCTGCCTTTATTGTTGTTCATTTCTCCTGGAAATCTGCTCAGTTCTTTCTTAGGGTCATCTCTTTCCTGTGAAAGAAAGTTTGTCTTGTTTGTGTCACTGTCTAATGCAGGGTGAAGGAGATGGCCCTGTTTGACCCAGCCCCTCAGCACAGTCTCCTTCCCACTGTGACTCTGACTCCGGGCTTTGTCCTTCCTAGTTAACAAAGAAAACCTAGGAGGATTGTGCAGGAAGGCTGTTAGAAGCTAGAGCATACACCTAGAAGTGGTACATGCTCTGTGTTTGTTTTATTGGTATTCTAGCAGACTTGGTATTATATATAGCCCTTCTCAACTGTGAAAGGAGATGGAAAATACAGTCCTACTTCATTGCCAAGGAAAAGAAAACAAGATGTGGTGAGGATACAGGAATCACTCCATGGCTGGAGCTAATTTGGAAGAAGGAATATACGATAGTTATGAAGGCCATGAGTAAACATGGGGATTAATCTAGAAAGAGGTGTAGGGAAAGTGATGGGAGGCCGTCACACACACACATTTCTTGAAGACCTGTGAAAATAACATAAGTCTGCTTATGATTTGTAGAATATGTATTACTCTGTATGTAGGAAAATTAAACATATGGATGAAATAAGTGGAAAAGTAACTTTCTCAGAATCTGCAATGTTTTCTGTCCTTAAAGCTATTGCAGAAAAATGTGTATATCAGCATCATGTTTCAAGACTGTGCAAGCTATGCATATAAAATAAATTGAGTTTTATAAATATTAAGCCAAGTGAAGCTTAATTGTTACTTTTTAAATAATGTCCATTTATTGAGCAGTGCCAGAGAATGTACGGACGATAGTACCAAATCAGTCCCCTGAGGGACATCAAATGTAGTACAGAAAATAGGACAAGTAAGGAGATACCTGAACGTGTCAGGCAGATCAGGACCACAGCAGTGGCATGCCTAAAATGAGTTGACTCACAAGGACACCGTCCAGAAACAAAAGAGCCCTGAGCTTTGGCACTCAGCAGATCTTGGTTTGAGTCTTAGAACAGCTGCTCTCGGGCAACTTCCAGAAGTTTGTGTCTCTGAACTCTGCTCTCTTTATTTCCAGGCTAATACTAACAGCTAACATCCCAGGCTTGTGATGATTAGAGAGGGTGCATAAAGTGTTTAATATTATAAATAATGGTATTTTTATTACTATCACCAAAGAAGGTACAGTTCTTCTAGGATGGCAGTGAACAAATGGTAGCTCTCATCTTTGCTGTCATAGGGCTGTGACTTCTGAAAGGCAGGTATCCCACTCTAAAAATGGTCACAAGTGCAGAACACACACACAGAGAGATAAAAATGTTACGCTTTTGCTCTTAGTAAACGTGGCACATTTTTGAGGATTAATTAGCTTCAAAGTGATACGTAAATTAAGCTTCATCCATTCCTGTCACTCCACTGCTTTCCTTAGGACTGTGTGCCTTTTACTAGACCATGCATTATGCTGGCACCCCACCCATCTCTGTGCAGCCCTTTCCTGTCCAATCTCTACCCACCACGTCCTTTCATAATTGCTCCTCAAAACTCCACGTCAGACTGCTTTTAGACCTCTTCCTGAGTTCTTTTTCCTCCTGCCCTCTTCTTCTTTCTTATCTAGAGTAATGAAAGAAAGCCAAGCAAGGTGGTTCGTGTCTGTGGTCCCAGCACTACAGAAGCTAAAGCCAGAAGATCGTGAGCTTGAGTCTGGACCTGGTGTGGGTTGCACAGTAACTTCAAGGTGGTGGGCGGTGGGTAGCTCCTGGTGTCAACTTCACCACATCTGGAATTAATTAAAACCCAAGTAGCTGGGCACACCTGTGAGGGATTTTTCTCCATTAAATCGTTTAAAGTGGGAAGACCAACTTTTAATCTGTATCTTTTGAGGTGGACGGTCCACCTTTATTCTGGGCCACACCTTCTGGTGGCAGCCTATAGAAAGGATGTGGGAGAAGGGAGCTCTTTGCTCTTTGCCTGCTGGCTCTCACTCTCAGTTCACTGGCATTAGAACTGACTTCTTTGGGATTCTGGTGTATAACAAAGAGCAGCTGAGACATCCAGCCTTGTGCACTGGACCACTACTGAATTCTTGGACTTTCCATTGGTAGACAACCATTGTTGAACTAGCAGGACCACAGCCTATAAGTCACTCTAATAAATATATATATATATATATATATATATATATATATATATATATTCATTCTATCAGTTCATTCCTCTAGAGAACTTGAATACAGATTTATTGATGGATGATTGATTGATAGATGGATGATAGGTAGGTAGGTAGGTAGGTAGATAGATAGATAGATAGATAGATAGATAGATAGATAAATAGATAGATAGATAAAGAAGTCAAAACAATATGAGCAAATACATAGGAAGTTTGTGCTTCAACCATTTCCCAGTATCATCCTCTCCTTCTACCCTCCAAAGCACATAGAGCCTTCCAATTAATAGTGTCCAGATGACTTGAAGGGTCTGTTCAAAAGCTGTTTCCTCTCATTTTTCTGATCATCTTTTTCGTCTAGAAAGGCACATACATGCTGCCTTATTTTCCCTGTAACTTTAACCATAGAGAACTTCCCTTATGCTTCCTGGAGTTGGATAATAGCTAGGAGACTCCGGTGTCCTTGAGCATCGTGGCCAGGCTTGGTTTAATTTCGCACACCTCCTAGTACTTAACATAGAGGGCTCTGCTTATCATAGGAGCACAGGATGTGTTTATGGGACAATTCTCCTCAAGGTACTCATTCCAGTTTATTTTGTTTGAACTTGGTGTTTGAGATGTCTTCTTCTGTCTCTCCATTTTCTTTCACAGAAGTTTCTCTAGCTTTTCAGCATACAAGCACAGCCCAGTTTTATAACAAGTGTTATCCTGCCTCTTGTTAGACTCTCAGTTAAGGAACTGTTCCCTTTATCTTGGTAGCCTCGTTTGTAAGCTGAACACAAGGACCACCATCCTGGCAGCAACTAACCCCAAAGGCCAGTACGACCCCCAGGAGTCCGTGTCTGTGAACATTGCCCTCGGGAGCCCACTCTTAAGTCGATTTGACCTCATCCTGGTTTTGCTCGACACTAGGAACGAAGACTGGGATCGTATAATTTCTTCCTTCATCTTAGAAAATAAAGGTAGGTGAAGAGACATGAAAGATGAGACCTAACCAAAGGACATTCCCTTAAATTAAATACTCAAGATGTCTGTGTTGACAGTAGTTAGTAGGCTTCAGAACCATGAACAGATGGGAAAGTGGCTTTCTCCACCTCTGTCATGAGAGTGCAGTTGTGCTATCTGTGCCTATAGGTAGGTAGGTAGATAGATAGGTAATCGATGGGTAGAGAGAGAGGTTGGGGAGAGAGGGGGAGAGAGAGGGAGAAAGAGAGAGAGAGATCCTTATCATAAGAGCCATCCTTGTGGTAAAAAACTAATACTCTTGCACACAAAGAAAACTGGAGAGAATTATGAAATGGAAATCAATAAATATTAGTTTTCCTTAAATTAGACCTATTCAAGTTCTTATTACTGTAAATGAGACCAGAATTATTCTAAACAATTTTCACTCTGGGGTAAGTTTCTTTTTAATTGATCTTACATCATAAGACAGTTTATTCTGGAACTGCATGTTACAAGAATAGGTCTGGATTTCAGTGGACATGAAACCTGAAGTTTACCTTTTTTAAATGTGTATAGGAGCCGAGTGCGATGGTGTGCACCTTAATCCCAACACTTGAGAGGCAGGCAGATCTCTGTGAGTTCTAGGTCATCCTGGTCTACATAGTGAGTTTCAGGACAGCCAGGGATATCTATACAGAGAGATTCTGTCTCAAAAAAGACAAAAATAAATGAATACATATTAAAATGCGTGTAGGAACTTTCTCAAATTCCTCAAAATATGATGTTTTCCAGGTGTTTTTAGTTTACTGATCCAATGTCTGGTGTACATACACAGGTTATCCAAGCAAATCAAAGAATCTGTGGAGCATGGAGAAGATGAAAACATACTTCTGCCTCATTAGGAATCTCCAGCCCACACTGTCTGATGTGAGCAATCAAGTACTCCTCCGGTACTATCAAATGCAAAGACAGAGTGATTCCCGCAATGCAGCCCGGACCACCATCCGCCTATTGGAAAGCTTGATCCGATTAGCAGAAGGTTCATTTCATTTTACAGATATTTTTATTGAGTGCCTAGTTTGTACAAGGCATGCACCATGCATTCAAAGATGATAAGAGTAATCCCTGCTCAAAGATACTCATATGTCACTTAAAGGCTGAGAGAGTGTCAGGAGATGGGATAACTTAGCTGATGAAGATTCTTGCCCCAAGCCTGATGACTCATGTTCAATCCCTTCATGGCACATGGTGGAAAGAAAGAATTGACTCCCACGAGTTGTCCTCTGACCTTCATACACACACAGGCAAACATACAAGTTAATAAACGTAATTATAAAAATTAAAAATGAGAGCTGTAGAGATGGCTCCGCATTTAAGAGGACTTCCTCCTCCACCAGAGTTTCCAAGCTAGGTTCTCAGCACCCATGTCAGGGTAACTCCAGCTCCTGGGGATCCAATGCTTTCTACTGGCTTCTGTGGTCACCAGCATACCTGTAGTCCACATGTACATGAGTGTACATACACACACATACACACACACACTTTTAAAATAACAAAAATTTTAAAAAATGTATACATTAAAAGTGAAAGCTCTGAGCCCCAGACCACCGTGCTCCTGAGAGTAGATTGTGATTATGGAGCGAATCTTTGTGCCATTTCTGGACCTTCCACAACTTAAGCTATTATTCGTTTAGAAAGCCTTGCTTGTGATGCTGTTTCTCAGGGGCAGACCCCCAGCATTTTAAATAGTGTAGTTTCGTGTTCATTTGGAATTGTTTCCTATGCAGTGTTTCCCATTCCTATCCAGTAATTGCCACTTGTGACTCATGCCTATTCTTTTTTTTTTAAATAGAAAATATTTTTTCATACAATATATTCTAAACAGTTTCTTCTCCCTCATCTCCTCCCAGATCCTTCCCAGCTCTGCACCTGTCCAACTCCATGCCTTCTTTCTCTCTCTCCCTCTCAAACAAACAAAAATGCAATCAAACAAGAATAAAGCAACAAAAAAGAAAAGGCATAAGAAACATATACACATAGAGAAACAATACACAGATACATAAAAACACAAAAGCAGAAATATATAAACAAAAGGTCAGTAAGATAAAAAATGCCCAAACAAAGCATTGTAAGACAAAACATATCCATTCACACCATTGAGTTTCTTTTGTGTTAGCTATTATTCACTACTAGACATGGAGTCTGCCCTTAATCATGTTTACCCAGTAAGACTCCGTTGGAGAAAACGGATTTTTCCTTTGCTAGTGGTTATCAATTGGAGATAGCATCTGTGTTAGAGATGGGAGCTTGTGTCTACTTCCTCTCTCAGAATTGGGACACCATCTAGCTTGGACCTGTGCAGGTCCTGTGCTTGCTGTCACAGTCTCTGTGAGGTCATATGCCTGCCAGTCCTGTTGTGTCTAGAAGACACTGTTTCCTTGGTGTCTTCCACCCCCCACCTGCTCTTTATCATCCTTCCACCTCCTCTTTCCCATAGTTCCTTGAGCCCTAAAGGGAGGAGTTTGATAAAGACATTCCATTGAAGACTAGATGTTTCAAAGTCTCTTACTCTCTACCTATTTTCCAGTTGTGGGTCTCTATATTTGTTCCCATCTACTACAGTAGAAGCTTCTTTGATGATGGCTGAGCAAGTCACTGATCAATGAGTATAGTAGAATTTTCATTAGGAGTCGTTATATTGCTGTGTTTAATGACAGAGCAATATTATTTGGTTTTCCCCTAGGCCCATGGCTTCTCAAGTCACCTGAGGAATGTCAGGCATGAGTTCTGTCTCATGGAGCAGGCTTTAAAAGCAGTCAGATACCGGTTGGTCACTCTCTCAACTTTGTGCCACGATTGTAACAGTATATTATTCAGTTAGGTCGCCATGTAGATTGAAGGTTTTGTAGATGGAGTTGTGTTTAGCTTTCTCCTCTGGTAGCATGCAGAGTACCTCCAGTATCATGAACACTCGTCAGTTGGGTTGAGGGCTCTAGTTAGGCAACATTTGGACTTCTTCATGTTCAATGAGTATACAGGTGTTGTCTTCAGCAATAGGGCCTTACCATCAGTTTGGGGAGAGTAACCTAGAGTCTTGATGATAGCCTGAGTTGTTTGGGGGTTTCCATAGGGTATCTTTGGCCAACAACTCAATTAGCTGTAGCCCATTCATGGCACTTAAGGTTTCACTTGATGGTGAGAGAAACCTAGTTGGGACCTGTCTCCTCCATTATTTGATGACTCTACGTAGATTTCTTTCATAGAGGTGTATATTTTAAGAAGCTTCTATTGTAATAACTCTCAGTTTTAGCTGTCCCTCCTTGTATCTGGTGTTCCCTTTCTTACTCCCTCTTCCTTCCCTTTATCCATCTAATCCTCCCATTCCAGTGCCTGTCCATCATTACTGTATATTCTATTTCTTATTCCTTGGGAGATCCTTCCCTTCCTCCTAGTCCCTTACTCTATACCTAACCTCTATGGTTATACCAATTATAGAATGCCTACTGGATGCTTAAAAGTTAACATCACTTATAAGAAAGTACGTACCATATTTGTTCTTTGGGGTCTGAGTTAACTCAGAATGATTTTTTTTTTCTAGCTCCAACTATTTACCTGTGAATTTCATGATTTTTTTAAACAGATGGTTAATCATTGTGTAAATGTGCCATGTTTTCATTATCCATTCATCTGTTGATGGGCATCTAGGCTATTTCCAATTTCTAGCTATTATGAATAGAGCAATAATGAACAGAGACGAGCAAGTATCCAAGTGTTTCCCAGCCATTTGTGTTTCATCTTTTGTCTACTTTCTGTTTAGTTCTGTGCCCCATTTTTAATTGGGTTATTTTCTTCATGTCTAGGGTTTTTTTTTGTTGTTGTTGTTGTTGTTATTTTTATAGTTAGATAGTATCCCTCTGTTAGATGTGTAATTGGTAAAGATCTTTTCCCATTGTGTAACATCCCACTTTGTCCAAATGCTGGTGTCCTTTACCATGTAGAAGCTATTCAGTTTCATGAGGTCCCATTTATTAATTGTTGGTCTTAGTGCCTGTGCTATTGAAGTCACCCACTATAACTGTATAAGTATCAATATGTGATTTTAGCTGTAGTAGTATTTCTTTTATGAACTTGGGTGCCCTCATCTTTGGTGCATAAATATCTAGAATTCCAATATTCTCTTGGTGGATTTTCCCTTTGAGAGTTCTTTCCTATCTATTCTTATTACTTTGGGTTTGAATTCTGTTTTGTAGGATAATAAAATGACCACATCAGCTTCCTTCTTGGGTCCATTTGCTCGGGATATCTTTTGCATCCTTTTACCTGAAGTGATATCTATCTTTGATGATAAGGTGTATTTCTTTGATTTCTTTCTAGCAGAAAGGTGCATCCTGTTTTCTGTCTAATCTGTTAGTCTATGTCCTTTTGTTAGGGAATTGAGACCATTAATGTTGAGAGATATCAATGAGTAGCAGTTATTGATTCTTGTCTTTTTGTGATGGTGTGAGTTTTTTTCATCCTCTTTTGATTTGCTGGACTGTGGTTATTTATTCCTTGTGTTTTCTTGGGTGTGATTAACCTCTTCAGATTGAAGTTTTCCTTCTAGTGCCTTCTGGATTTGTAGATAGATGGTGCTTCGATTTGATTTGATCATGGAATGTTTTCCTTTCTCCATCGATTGTGATTGAAAAGTTTGCTGGGTACAGTTGTTTGGTGGTGTCTGTGAACTCTTAGAGTTGGTAACTATCCATCCAGGCCCTTCTGGCTTCTAGGGCCTCCTTTGAAAATGTAGGTGTTATTCTAATGGGTCTGCTGTAGATGTTATTTGGCTCTTGCAGCTTTTACTATCCTTTCTTTGTTTAAAACATTTAGTGTTTTGATTATTATGTGCTATGGGGAATTTCTTTTCTGGTCCTGTCTGTTTTGTATTCTGTATGCTTCTTGACCTCCTTCTTTGTCAAGATTTTCTTCTATAATTTCATTGAAAATACTTTCTGTACCTTTGGCCTGGGTTTTGTCTCCACCTATCTACAAACAATAGAAATTGTTTTGTAGATTTGGTCTTTTCAGTGTCCCACATTTCCTGGGAGTTTTGTACCTGGATTGTTTTAATTTAATTTAATTATTTTTTTAGATTTAACACTTTCTTTGAATGAGGTATCCATTACTTCCACCTTGTCTTCAACAACTGAGATTCTGTCTTCCATGTCTTATATTCTTTTGTTGCGGCTTACCTCTGAGACCTTTGTTTGACTTCCTAAATTTGTCATTTCCAGTTTTATCTCAGTTTGGGGTTTTGTTTTGTTTTTAGTGATTCTATTTCTTGTTTAAATTCTACTTTCACGTCATGAATTGTTTTCATTATATCATTCCATCATTTGTGTTTTCACTGACTTCATTAAGGGATTTGTTTGTATCCTCTTTAAGGTCCTTGAACATACTCACAATAGCTATTTTGAAGTCCTTGTCTTGAGCTTCAACTATATTACATTTCTCAGGACCTACTGTAGTAAGATTACTAGGTTCTAGTGGAGGCATATTGTCTTGGTGATTATTGATTGATTTTTGTACTGATGTCTAGGCATCCAGGGTTCAGATGATTGTAATGCTAGCTGTTGCTATCTACTCTTGTCTTTGATGAATAGCTGTTCCTTTCCTTGTTTTCTGTTGGCCTCTCTGCATCTTAGGGAAGTGTGGTGCAGTAGGTTTGGATGGGAGGGAGTGCTTCTGCAGGTCAGTGGGTGGCACAGAGCAATGAGTGGGGCTAGGAGAAAAGGTTGGGAGTAAGTTCAGGAAAGATCTAAGGGGACCCTGTTCACACCTAGAGTTGGGGTCCACAGGGAGTTGGAGATGTTATGGAAAGAAGGGATCCTGCAAGTGTGTTGCAATAAAGTAAATAATTTTCTGGAGACAGGGATACAAAGGTTATGGAGACCTAGGGTCTGAACCTAGAATTGGAATCTCTAGTAAATGAGCCTCCAGTGAAGGGAGTTGAGAGGGAAGGAGGTGAGGGGAAGCCAGTAGTTGTGTAGCTAGAGTTTTCCTGCCTTGCCCATAGTTAGGACAAATCTCTGTCACCCGCCAGTCCCATAGCTGCTCAGACCCAACCAAGTAAACACAGAGACTTATATTGCTTACAAACTGTATGGCCGTGGCAGGCTTCTTGCTAACTGCTCTTATAGCTTAAATTAATCCATTTCCATAAATCTGTACCTTGCCACATGGCTGGTGGCTTACCGGCGTCTTCACATGCTGCTGGTCATGGCAGCGGCTGGCCGTGTCTCTCTGCCTCAGCCTTCCGCTTCCCAGAATTCTTCTCTTTCCTTGTCCCACCTACTTCCTGCCTGGCCACTGGCCAATCAGTGTTTTATTTGTTGACCAATCAGAGCAATTTGACATACAGACCATCCCACAGCAGAGTTGAGAAGAAAGGAGATGTGTCTGTAAGCAGATTGTTATGGGCTGACGGTGAGAATGGAGGGATTGTAATGGATGACAGGAAGAATACTGTGATTTACCTACCTGAGTCCTTGCCAGATGTGGCCTCTGGGGGCCTAGGGGTAGAAAGTGTTTCTAGGTATTGTGGGCTAGCAGGAAGGAATGGGTATGTACTGGAAAGGTGGGGTCTGAGAGGGTCTACAGGAAGGAGGAAGGCTGGGTCCACTCCTAAGTTTGCCAGAGTTCCGTGCAGGTAGGGTGGGAAGACAGGCCCCTGCACACAGTCTGCTCCAGGGCTGGGGAGATTGTAATGGAAGAAGGGCAAGAGGAAGAAAATCACCTACCTGACTCCCAGCCCGGTGTGGCCACTGGGTTCCCAGGTAGAGAGTATTGCCAGCTATAATATGTAGCTGATGCCAGGGGATGGGGTGAGGGGGGAAGCTGAGTCCACAGCAAGGTTCTGGAGTTCCCAGGGGATGGCGGTGGAATGGGAACACAGGCTTTTGCAGCCCGTCTGCTACATGGCCGGGGTGAGCCCAGCATCTCATGCCAGTCCTAACCACAGCAGCAAAGCTGCACCCTACCCTATCCCAAAGGCTCAGGGTTACACATACACAAGCAGCTAACGTCCATCTCAGATAGCATTTACACTTTACCTATGTTCAAATTAGTAACATTCACATGAATTGAATGTATCCTCGTGAAATCATGTAAACTTAATAAAAAATGCCATAAAACAAATGAACCTCATTTTATTCAAGGATTTATAGGTAATATTCTGGCAAGAAAAATCTAAAAATTCTTGCTTGCTAGTTTGGTACTTTAGAAGGCTTGTAAATCATAGATAAAAGAGGTGCCAGAGATGAGAAATGAGTTTTAATTTTGTGTATTTAAATGAGAATAAAAATTGCTGAATATTAAATGGAGGTTTTCACGGTGCTCTCATATAAATACACAAAATGGTGTGCACTCTGACGGATTAGGCCTGTTATTGGAGAAACTATTTGAAGATAGTTGCCTGTTGTAGTAAAATTAACTGATGATTAATTTAGCTCATCCATAAAATGCAAGTTTAGAGGGTACAGAAGTCAAGTAAAGGATTATATTTATCACCTCAGATATTGCTAAAAGTGTCTTGCTGTCTTAGCTCATGCCCGCCTGATGTTCCGAAATACTGTGACGTTGGAAGATGCTATTACTGTGGTGTCGGTGATGGAGTCCTCGATGCAGGTGAGGACAGTTTGTGCCTAATGTTCATCTTAATTACAAGCTCTTTTTAAAAATGACACTTTAATAACATACGAAGAATTGTAAAGTGTAAAATGATCACGTTCTATATGTTATACTTGCTGGAAAAATCCAAAAGCCGTCATTTAAAAGAAGGGGAGCTGTTGCGGGTAGAGACCTTCACTCTGCCTTTACCTATAAATGGGAAGTAGCAGGTCTCTATTTTTCTTCCTCGGCAAACCTCGGACAATTCATGCTCTCACTAGTGACCCATGGCTTCCTGGCAGAGTGATCACCCACTGCCCTGCAGGAGAAGGGATACAGAAATCTGAAAGGGTTCCATGATTGTGGGGTCCCCAAGAAGAGGATGTAGGGAGCCAGTCTTTCCCACCTGAGACCAGTGGTCCCTGGTGTATCCTTATTCTTGTGCAAGTTGATCTGTGACTGTCCCTGGTGTGTTCTCGCCCTCAGGGAGGTGCACTGCTAGGAGGTGTGAATGCTCTTCACACTTCCTTCCCTGAAAACGCACAGGCACAATACCGGAGGCAGTGTGAGCTGATTCTGGAAAAGCTGGAACTTCAGAGTCTCTTGAGCGAAGAGCTTAGAAGACTTGAAAGGTAAAGGAGGGAAATAAAGGCAGGCATGTAGAGAAAGGTGCTTCTTTGGCCTTTAGTGAAAGGGTAAGCATTGCAGCTGCATGGAAAGGCATCCTGGCAGCTGAAAGCCAAGGAATACCATAAATTCACACCGCACAACAAACTTCACACAAGAGATTTATTGGGAGGGAAAACCCAGGAGGATGGCTGCCTCTGCTCAAGCAAGAAACAGCAGCAAACTGAGCAGGATTGAGGGCTGGCAGAGAGCTTCTTGGGAAGGCAGTGGAACTTTTTAGGGTAGAGCTTTCCAGGGTGGAGATCGGTGGGATTTCATGTCCAGAGATTGGGCTTTTTTATTTGCAGGGTGGGGCAGGGTCCAGCAGTTAGGGCAGTTAGAGTATTCTGTGGGTGGAACCTGGCAGTTAGAGGTCCTCAGGGGAGGAGCCTGGCCACTCATGGCTCACGGGGCCTACGGAAACGGGAAGTATAAAGTTAGCAGAAAACTGCTGTATAATCAACCACTGCAAAACTCAGTGCCTTAAAAAAACAAACAAACCAGAAAACAACCCCACTGTTTTAGTGCTTAATTTTTGGGGAGTCAGAAGTTCAGACTGATTCAGGGGAGATGGCTGTCTCTCTGCTCCATATCATGTTGGCTCGGTCATGCTCTCACTAGGTCAACCACTGGGGAATGGCAGAGCAGTGTTTCAAAACTCATATAATAGGCATGGAAGGAACATGGGAGTAATGTGTTAAGTGAATTAAAACATGTAATTTTACCTAAAGACATTTTGCCTGAACTTCAATGTTCCTTAAATGCATGGGTCTCTGTAAAGCTAGAAACCTCACCTCAGAAACAAGAAATGGCAAGACTGTCTGTCTGTTCCAGAGTGGCTTCATAACTCACCTCCACTGGTAATCGGTGCTATCTCCAAGTCAGACAATGAATGGAGTGCATGTTGAAGCTGAGTGGCTGTCCACATTGGGATTGTTGACTGCATTAAGTCAGACCTTGAAAACCTTTTTCCTGGCATTTCTCCACTCTGGATGCTCTGGCTTCTCCTAGAAGCATTTTCTTCTAATGTGTCAAACCTGAGCATGTTTCTCCTGGGGAATGGAGTGGAGTTGGCTTTACTCACTAGTAATAGGCATCAGGGTGTGGTAAACTGGCACTGTGTGAAATAATTATCCAGCCTCTCCTTTGGCCCTAGCCACTTTTATGACCCAGAGCCATGTATGGTTAGGTGTAGCTGATCCTTTCAAGTTGCAGCGGGGCTCAGCTCAGCTTTGCCTGGGAGAGTCTGCTCATTTTGACCAGTTCAAGGTACCAAAAGTGGTAAATGCTGGGTTCAAGAAAAGAAGACCGCAAGGCTCTCAGCCTTAGTCATCTTATATTCAGAAGTGACTCTCCTAGACTGGAGTGGGGAGAAGTGTATATGGCTATCCAGAACAAAAAAACAAAAACAAAAACCCTGAATTCTGCCTCAGTAGTCTTTCCTGCTGTTATTTCTTTATCATGCAGAAATATGTTATGGTGTTGACCCCCAAAACAACAGAACCAGGTGCTTCACACTATGGGTAAATTGTCTTTGAGATTCAATTGGAAGCTAGCCTCATCAAGTCAAAAGAACCCAACTAGCCTATGGTTTTTGCCTTTTAGGAAAGACTCCCTAACAGAGCTCATGGTAAAACCACTCATGCTTTCCCCATACTTCCGTCCAGAAAATACCTGGCCAGTAACCACCTCACATGGGACCGTTCTGTCCACTCCAGTCAAACGGCACAGAAACCACTTGGGTTAAGGATGCTGTAGCACAACTGCAGACATTTTGTGTAGAAATTCAATTCTAAGCAAGAATTAAACTAAAAAACGTAACAAGATCAAACCATTCTGCTCCTGAAATCTCTCCACTTTGAAGCTCTTCTTACACAGCTTTAACAAGTGTGAGAATCCTGACACTTATCTGATGCTGAAATGTCTACCTCATGGTAGTGGTTCTGAAAGCTGCTTGCTTCTCTGGTTGCAACCCAAGAACAAGGAACACATGACCTTATTACCCTGTTGGTATTTCTAAACCTGTGAGTGATAAGTTAATAATCTTTTTACAATTTGTAATTACTTTTATAAAAGTAATATACATTCTTTGTACGTTTTGAAATACAAATATATATATATACAAAAATAAAAAAGTCAAATATAATCTTATTTTCCAGAGCTATATATTAACTTCTTAATATATTTAACTTTACATTTTTAATTCTTTTTTTCTGTTACTATGCATGAATTATAGAACAACTTCCTCATCTGCTTTTAAGTGTAATTTCCTTTCAGATTTAGCACATGGGAGCAGGGTCATATATTTCTCCCCAGTGAACCAACATTTCTAAGTTAAGAAGGACCTTCTAAAGGACTCACTCTGGGGAACTGTAATTCCTGATGGAAAGTGGTTCTTCTGGCATGTGCTGGACTTTTTAATAATGCCCAGTATTGAGAGCAGGTTTCCTGAGTAGATCCTTCACTCAGAGCTGATAAGCAGGTGCTAATTCTGGGTCAGACTGCTGGACAGCCACTCAGAGTCTGAGGAAACAGGATGGGTCTTTGCAGGAAAGGGTGGACAGTGCCCAGAAGGTCTCTGTGCTCAGGAAGATGGACAGTCACTGGCAGCAACGGCAGGCAGTTGTCCCAGACTCTTCACGCCTAAGGAAGGCAATTCTCACACACATTAAAATTCAGTAACTCCTTTTGGTAAAGCTGTGAAATCCGCATCTCCAGGCTTTCACTTTTATTCTGATCCACAAACTGCCTGGGGAAACCACCAGAGCCATCACTTAGCAGTATAAACTTTCGTGCAAGGCGTCACAAGTATTTCTTGTATTTGAACTTTACAGGTGAAGGGCTCTGAGTTAGCATTTTACACTGATCTTCAAAAGGTCTCAAATGAAGTCAGTGGCTTCCAGAGAGATCTGAAAATGTAGACTAGCCTCTGGTTTCATTTTCTTTGTTTTACTGCAGTTTTAGGTTGAAAGAAAATGCTTGTCAGAGTACTAAATTCAAATAAGACTGTACTTGTTATTGACTTGAAATTATGTTGCACTTAAACCTTCCAGGTGGCATCTCAGAGACTAAAGAAAGAGAAGGCTGGCATAGAATTTCTTCCTTTCAGGATGTTTGCTTTATCTGTCTCTGCCCAGGTTACAGAATGAGAGTGTGCACCAGAGTCAACCCCAGTCAGCAGAGGTAGAGGCAGATCCAGGTTCCTCGAGAGATGACCCAACCGACAATCCGAGGCTCGGGACTTCATCACAGCTGGAACAGAGCTGTAGCTGGGACAACTCCTCCCCTGCCGGGGGTCCCACGGGACGTGCTAGTGTCGACTCCTCACCTGGTCTGGGGCTCGATGGACCGAGAAGTAGTAACCACTCCACCGGGCACAGTGGTGGCGGAGATGACGGGGGAGATTGGTTTGACCTCGTGGCGACTCCTGAGATTGAACCAGAAAGCGGTGCTGTGTCTCCTGAATTGAAAATCCCCAACAATAAATCTCAGGCCAAGGGGAAACATGGGCCAGGGCTCAGGAGCAAATTATTAAAAACTGGACATCATCCATCATCGGAAGCCATGGACACGCCCTTAAGGTCACACAGTGTCGCAAGTGCAAAGGCTACAAAGGCTAAAAAGGCAGCAGTCGTATCTGAAGGAGGAGGACAGGGTGATGAACCAGACTCTGGACTGCCTCAGGTTCCCCCTCGACTCCCCAAGCTGCAGAAAGAGGGGTCCCAGAGCTCGCGCAGAAGTACAACCCGGGTGCGACCACTGTCGCCCACAGTCCCTTTTCCCCCGTCCATCCCTTTGCCGGAACCAGAAAAAACAACAGGAACACCCAAAAGAAAGAGAGAGAAATCTCCTGCTCAGGTGGGAGATCGTGAACTCGAAAGTGTTGAGACTCCGCGTACTCCGCTGGTGAAACTGGCCAAATTCACTTTCAAACGGAAGACAAAACTGAGCCACACCTCTGAAGGCCACAGCCCTGTGCCTCCCAGTTCTACTAAAATAGCAATCAACCGTTCTAAAATTCCCCAGCAAAGAACAAGAAGAGAAGCAGCTGTGCCCGTGGAGGGCCCAGGAAAGTTGACATCTACCTCAGGAGACAGATGCTCTGACCAGCTGCAGGGAAAGACAAAGGCGCTCTCAAGGCAGCTACCAGAGAGAAATCCACCAAGAGAGGAGAGGGAACAGGGGCCTGAAAGAAGGGTTGTTCAGCCCGAATTGGAGCTTGGGAACCAGGCCGGGCATTCTCATCTAGCCTGCGAGAAAGACCGAAAGGAAGGGGCTTCCTGCAGTAATAAAAGCAGCAAGGTTCATGCTGGCACATTAGCCAGACTGGCAAACTTCTCCTTCGCCTCCACACCAGAATCCAAATCAGAGTCCCTCCCTCCCGAAAGGAAGGACCGTGGGGAGAGAAGCCAGGGCCCTCCTGCAGCCACAGCTCCAGGGCTGGGCCAGCAAAGGCGCTCTTTCCAGCTGCAGCCGTCCACCCAGAGAGCGAATGTTTCCACACACTCCCTCTTCGCTCTGTCAGAACTAGATGATGAAGCATTAGAGTTTGACTGGGATGAAGAGATGAGAAAAAAGCCGTGATTATGAAAAGCGGGTCAGAATTGTCTTCCCCAACTCAACCGAGTGCCTTCAAAGGACAGTGCAGTGTTTATAGGTGTACCTACAATGTGTACTAAGTGCCGTGAAGAAGTCCACCCCCCTTGGGCTTATAATTTCAGGTTTATCTTCATGATGTAAAATGCTAAATAATTAATTTCAGTCAGTGTGATACCAGCACTTGGAATGAATGAATGAATTAATTAATTAATTAATGCTTCATTTCACAGAAAGATGACTTGCCATCCCAGGGCATTTTTTGATTTTTCACCTTTTTTGTTGTTTGTTTGTTTGGTTCATTTTTGTTGTGTTGTTTGGTCTGGGGGTATTGTTTTTTATTTTAATTCAGAAGTTCTTTTCTAAGTTGCCTCTTTGATTCATCCAGACCAGTGGCATGAAGGGAGCACTCATAACTCTAACAGGGCAGATGAGTGGTTTCTGTTTTCTGTGTCTGTTTTCCTGTATATTTTCTACCCAGTATGTACTGAATGTGGTGAATATTTATTAACATTTGGAATGACTTGCCAAAATCATGTGGTTTTCTTATACTTCTGTGTTTATTCCCATGTATCAGATTAAATGTGGCTGGTGCTTGTCTGTCTTCGAGAAGCATGTTTTCACTCCATGGCGTCCTCGAGGCAAGTCACATAGTAGCTTTCTGAGCACTGACCTGTTGGACTTCCCCTTTTCTCTGGAGCCAGCAGTCCCGGGTTCGATTCTCCTTTGCTCTCAGGAGCCTACCTTCACTACAACTTCAATCATGTGGTTATAAAAGAGTGAGAAGCAGAAGTCCAGCTGGAATGGGTCCCATCCGCACCACCGTTAATATGTGATCCTGCTAGTCTGTCATTCATGTCTCTTTAAAACCAAGGAAATTTGACTTAGGATATGGCTCAGAAGTAGAATGCTTATCTGGTGTGTATGAAGCCCCATATTAAATACCCTGCACTACAAAAACTAAATACATAAGCAGAAATAAAATCAAATGAAACCAAAGGAGTTTCTGTTTCTGGTGGGAATGGATGGCTCACACTGTTCTTCTGTGTGCTTCTAAAACCCTTTCTTTAGATTCCAGCAGGGGTTCTGGGGCTTCTGTCCTCACAGACTGCTTCAAAGGATGCATTTATAGCAATGATTGATTCTTTGACTGACTGGAGGACTTTGGGACATGAAGAGCACTCCAAACTGTATGCGCTTCACTGATGTTTACTTTGTGAAATGCACACAGGAAAAAAAAAACACAAAAGTTTATGAAACCCAGTTTTCTTGAGCATTTTAAAAATTAACATCCAAATTGACTATCTTTCTGAAACATTTTAAATTGTTACAACATGTTTATTACTTAGGAGTCTTCAGGCACCTTAAACAGCTCATAAAATATACAAGCAATAATTTTAAAATGTATTGCATATTCACTTAAACTTACTCAAAAACATTAAGACGATGGTTTAAGTAATATATTTCTGTGATTGTTTTAATAACTTTCAAGCATAATATGATCCTGAATATATTCCTAATCCATCATTTTTTTCTTTCCTGGGTTTTAGTAGACTTCCAGAAGTAAAGAGGAAAAAAGGGTTTGGGACTTTTTTCCTGCGGAGGAGGGAGTGCCCACATGAGTGTGCATGAGTGCACTCACCCATTCTTGTGCACGTGGAGGCAGAGGTCGATGTGGGGGTCTATCTCGTGTTTTTCCACCTCATTTTTTCCAGACAAGGTCTCTCACTGAACCTCAAGACTGTCATTTCAGCTAGACTGACAGGTCAGAGAGCTTCCTGGATCGACCTGTTCATACTGCCAAGGCTGGGGTTACAGACGATCCACCTCACTCGGCTTTTACACAGAGGGGGGGGGGGCTGGGGATCCAAACTTATGCTTGCGCAGAGAGCACTTTGCCCTTGAGCCGTCTCCCCAGCCCCACAGATAGGCCCGCAACCCCATGCCCTGCTCCTTTTTGGAGGGGAGTGGGGGCTGGGACAGGATCTCACTCCATAGTCCTGGCTGACCTGGAACTCACTGTCAAAGGCCACCTTGCTGTGTGTCCCAGTTGGGGTTACTACTGCCGTGATGAAGCACCATGACCAAAAGCAAGTTGGGGAGGAAACGGTTTTATTTGTCTTATGCTTCCACATCATAGTCCAACACTGAAGGAACTCAGGACAGTTAAGTCAAACTGGAAAGGAACCTGGAGGCAGGAGCTGACGCAGAAGCCATGAAGGGGTGCTGCTTACTGGCTTGCTCCCCATGGCTCCTTGCTCAGCCTGCTTTCTGATAGAACCCAGAACCACCAGCCCAGGGATGGCACCATGCACAATGTGCTGGGCCCTCTCCAGTCACTAATTGAGAGGACGCCCTACAGGCTTGCCTACAGCCAGATCTTGTGGAGGCGTTTTCTCAATTGAGGTTCTCTCCTTTGGATGACTCTAGCCTGGGTCAAGTTGACTTAAAACTGGCCTGTATAGTCTGCTTGTACTTTATGCTCAGAGTCTCCCACCTTGGCCAGTGGGAAAGCCCCTTACCCCAGGTTCCCGTTAGCACCCTGGAATTTCTGAAATGTTATTTGACAACAGTGGGCCTTCCAACCTGTCTGTCTGTCTGTCTGTCTGTCTGTCTGTGTTTGTTTGTTTATGTTACATTCCCTGGGTCGTAGAAGTAGCCATCCCAAGGTAACTCCATTTTCTTAGAGGTGAGAATTAGTAGAGAATAAATTCCAGCTCTTGAGACGCCCAGGACAATGACCGTGAACGAGGTTCCACTGCTGCTGTCCCTGTCACTCTTAGTAATTTCAGAGCTGGAAATACTTTAACAATTTGACTTTTTGTATTATTTTGAGACACATAACCTTGTGTAGCCAAGGCTGACCTAAAACTTACTATGTAGCCAAGGCTGGCCTAGAGTTCCTGGTCCTCTTGCCTTGCCTCCCTAATGCTAGGGTTACAGGTACGTACATTGTTACGTTCCAGTCAGGGTTTTGTGCCACTGTTCATCTTACATGTGGCACAGCTCACTAGGTATGAGGGGACCGGCACACAATTCTTTTCACTGTCGCTCTGGTACACACAAAGCAGTAATAACTGCCATAGAGACACTCTCCACTGGCCTGTCAGTTCAACCTTTAAAGTGAATAGGTTAGGCCAGGTGTGGCCCTATAATCCCAGCCTTTGACAGGCTGAGTCAGGAGGGTTGCTGTGACTCAGATGTCATCCTTGACTCCACAGTATGTACCAGACTAGCCAAGGTCAAACTGTGATTGAGACCCTGTCTCAAAAAAAACAAAAGAAAATTAAAAAAAGACACACAATGGATGTTTGGGAGATTGCTCAGTCAGTAAAGTGCTCACCCTGAAAGGATGAGGACCTTGGTTCAAATCCCAGAACCCATGTAGAAAAGCCAGATATGATGGTGTGTGCTTGGAACCTCAGTTCTGGGGAGTAGAGACAGATGGACTCTTTGGTGTTTGCTGGCCTACTTGGTAAGCTTCAAGCTAGTTAGAGACCCTTTCCAAAACAAGGTAGATGGCTCCTGAGGAAGGACAACCATCGTTGACCACTGATTATCCCATGAATACCCATACACGAACATATATCATGCGTGCTAGAACACACGAACAGAAGCAGAGAGGAAATTCCCCAGTGAATGAAAATTTTTTAGGCCACTCTTTATGTTTGGTTGGAGCCTTAGTGTCATGGCGTGGTCGAGCCACTAGAAAGCAAGCATTTACAGCAACTGCATTTTGATGTGGGAGCAACCTTGATTTAATGGAGCTTTTTCCTAATGATGTTTAAAAATTGCTTGCTGTTTGACTTCCCAGTGCCTGCTGACACTCAGGGAGGGGGTGCGATACCCAAATTGGGAACCAGGTGACTTTGTCATCACCAGTGATCTCATCCACAAAAGCAGAATGTCAGGCACATCTGAGTCCTGTTGAGGGAAACAGATAGGGAACAAAAACAAGGTGGGAAAACCTCAGAGGCTGGCTGAAAGAAAATGGGCTTTGATGTAAGCCTCTCATGGAGGATGAGAAACAGGCTAACAGCCTGGCCTTCCGCCGACAGGCCCAAACATCAGCTCTTCCCTCAGCCTTTGCCAGGGCCTCTGGGTCCTTGTCCCTGCTTCTCGGTGGGTGTGCTTGTCCTGCCCCTGCCCTAGCCCTCCTCCGTGTTGAAGACTGGTGTGCTCCAGCCCCCCACCCCCACCCCTGTAGTTTCTGATACACTTTGGGGCCGGGTTCCAAATGTCACTTCATTTCCCCTTTCCAGATGAGCACCAACCTTCCACTCACTGGTTCTGGTCTGCTTTTTGCTTTTTATTTCAGATTCATGGTTCACAGAAAAGAAAGGGTGTAGGTAACCATGGGACACAACAAGCCCAGCAACCTGGGCTGAGGGTAGAGACAATCTGGCCAGCCTCCCACACCCCTGCCTCCCAATGGCTTTGAGGTTGTGGGGACTCTAAACCTCCAGTTTGTAATTCAGGAACTGGTTGGAGACAGTAGGTTTCGGAACGCACTTGATCCAGCTCTTCCTAGGAACCCTGTACGCTGCCTGACAACCAACCGCAAGGCAACCGCAGACACACAGCCAGACACACAGCCAGACACCCAGCCGTTGCTGACCACGCTGATGTGCAGGTGAAGCTACAGAACGCCGAGGGAGCGGCTGAGTCCCCGCGTCTCTTGCCCATGTATGTGTTGCCCATGTATGAACCAGAGCTGTTGGAAATACTGAGGTGAGAGCCAAATGGGTGGAAGTATGAGGAGCGTGTCAAAATACATTGTATGTTTTCCCAGATTTTTTAACTAACGGTACAGTTGCCAGCAAAGTAGAGACTAGATCCACTTTGAGGAGACAAAATACCTTTAATCCTTAGAACTGTACCGAAGTAGTAGTTCATAATAATTTTATACTGGAAGTACAAAGCTGATTTTTTAATGATGTGTTTTATCATTGTTAGAAAATTATTTTTAAAGGTGGAGGATCTAGTGAAGAGCTGTGGCTATGTTCCGATAATCCCAGCACTCAGCATGTGGAGGCAGGAGGATTGTGAGTTTTAAGCCAACAAAAGATATATAGTGAGTTAAAAAGAACCCTGGCCCATGAAGAGAAATCCTCTCTCTCTCTCTCTCTCTCTCTCTCTCTCTCTCTCTCTATCTCTATCTCTATCTCTATCTCTATCTCTATCTCTATCTCTATCTCTATCTCTATCTCTATCTCTAAAGTTCAACCTCTAAGACAGGTGAGGGGGCTGGCATATCTGAGACTTGGCTTTGCCACCTTCAGAGGAGCCCCGTGTAGATGGGGGAGTGATCCAGCAGGCCCCTGGAGAGAACACTCCTCGTGTACGGCTAGCCCTTAGTAGCATGTGAACCACACCCATCGGTGAATAGAGCACTTTTTACCCCGGTATCATACTTCTTCAGGAAGGCCACAGAACCATAAACTTGTATTCATTGCAGTTTCATGTGTGTAGATAGTAGTTCTCTCCCAAAATGATCGTGCACTGACTTGAAAAAAAAAAAAAAAAAAAAAAAAAACAACTTTGAGCAATTTAATCTAATTGCAAGTAAAATTTTCTAGATTTGTATTGAACATTAATTTTCCCAAGTGAAACTTTACTATCAACATACTGATCATCATGCAGCTAATATGAAGTTTTCAAGGCATATTTATTACATGATTTCATTTGGTCTTTACAATAACCAGTACTATTCACTCAGGTAATATCTTATAAATGAAAATGCTCCAACATTTAAGTTTTGGGGTTTATTTTTATTTTTTTTGGTTTTTTTATACAATAAATGTATTTTATTTGCTCACTTCTTATTTCTTCATTAAAAATAGTGGCTATAAATACAGGGTGAAAACTATCTGTTGGTTGTTTACCATGGGCTAATTTTCAGCATTTTGAAAGTATTAACTCATTTAATGGTTTTGACTGTATAACTTAGTTCCTCCTCATCTCCGGATGTTTAATGATTGCGTATCCCAGGGCCCTTT